TCAAAACGTGAAGATATGCAAAAATTTTCTATTTCGATTTTTGGACGTTTACAATAATTTAGCCTACGGAAAGTTAAAAACAACAGATATCAAACGAACAACTATCTAACTATATCCAGTAAAATTTTCAGCTAATTCATCTTTGTAGAACTATGTTTTTTGGACATTTTACTCATGGACCTCTTAAGCCTTACTGTATCTTATATAAAAATTATTCCATACAGTTTTTTTAACTCTAAAAACATCGTTTAATTGAAATTTTTTACAAATTTTTGTTTTTTATTTTCTTCAGTCACATGATTGTATACTTTGAATACAACGTAGTACATATTTATTAGCTAAATCTATGTCAACGTGTAGATAAAACGTGTCTGGCAAGCGATTCCACTTTTGAACTAATTAAATCGGGTACTCTTGTAATAATGCATTTATTGATGAACTAATAAAACATTGTAACAATATGTATAATGATCCATTGTTTTATATGCAATTTTCCATAATTAATATTTTATATTATTTTCATAACGATTGAAAATATGTAACATGATTGGATATGTAGAAGTCGATTTCATATTTGACAAATTTTGATACCAGTTTATCAACTAATTATATTACAAATTGCAAAAATACCAAGAAATTAAATCGAAAACAAGATGATTTTGTTTTACGTTTTTATGCAAATTTGAATGAATATAGAATGTAGAGTTTGAATGAATATAGATTGGGATTTCGCTGTAAAGCAATTAATCGTCAAATAAGTAAAATTAAATTTTTTTGAGTGTTTTCTAATTTAAATATTATAACTGGGTGAAATGGCACTTTACCTTAAGACAAGTTGCAAAAACTTTCCCAAGTTTATAAATAATCGATCTTATCAATAATAATTAAGATTCAGTAAATTTTAAAATTGTGACGATGGTATTTTAAAATTTTAACACTGCCCATTATGCAAAATGTTGATGAATTTTTATAATTAGCCCAATTTTCGTAGGTCTATAATATTTCAGCATATGTTAAGAGCATAAACTATATTGCTTAATTATAATCGTTAAAAAACAACAATTAATTACGAAGAAATTACTTGGTCGATCTAATCAGTACGATTCCCAACTGTTCAGGATTTGTGACAAAAACGTAGACAAATAATTTAGCACTTTTTATCTAATTGTATAAAACGGTTTGATCAAATGTTTAGAAAAATTAATCAAAGCAAGATATTGTTGAGTTTTATAAATTGGCTTTTAAATGTTTATAATCGGTTCAGGCGTTTTTAAGGAAATGTCGATAAAGATCAGATTTTGGCTCCACATATACATACACTTTTTCCAATGTTGGCGTTTAAGGATACTGATTGGCTTGAAGCGTCCAAACTTCTCCTTCAGTAAATTAAAAAACAAGATGTATATGTTTTGAATTATTAAATTTTCACACACAAGACATAGAATGCATTAGAAATTTCTCGTTTATCATGAAAATGATTAATGATGATGAGGTTTACTTATATCTAGAATTTACTACAGAATGCGCCTAAATCTAAAATCTTGAAAGTACACACTAATTATAACTCAATGCTAAAGATTTTTTTAACTGAAGAACAAAAAGCAGAGGAAATTGACATTTACATCGGTTGACTAATGTATCATCAATAATACTGTATTTATGTTACAATTTATTAAACTCTCCTTCGATTAATTCAGGTAGTTGGGTTATAATTTAACCCTTGTAGCTGTGGACTGTATTAAACACTGATTTGTTTGTATATTATATATTTGTTACTAAGTTATAGTGAAAGAAGATATATTTATTTATTATTTAATATACATGTTGTTTCCCGGACTTTACTTTTAGAAGTGAACAATTCATCCAATTAAAACACTCTGCTACCCCTTCTACCAGGGGTAGCAACCATTTCGTGCAAAGCTTAATGCCCTGAAGGTTGTCACCTTCATGGCCAATATAATAAAACAAAAATACGTTCAAACAAATACAATATATTTTCGAGGTACACACGTACTTATTTTAATTTCGGTGTCAAATGATTCAGAATGGCTTGAAACGTCAGGAGAACATTAAATTATCAAATCAGATTTCTGATGGTAACATAAACTTTTTCTTCGGTAAGACAAAAAACAAGATGTAATTTAAAAATTATCAAATTTTCACACGCAAGACATTATGAAATGCATTAGAATCATGAAAATGATTAATGATGATGAGGTTTACTTATGTCTAGAATTTACTACAGAATATGCTTAAATCTAAAATCTTGAAAGTACACACTAATTATAACTGAATGTTGAAGGTTTTTTCTTAACTGAAGAAAAAAAAGCAGAGGAAATTGATATTTACTTCGGTTGCCTAATTTTTTATCAATAATACAATCTATTTTCGACGTACACACATACTTCAATTCTGGTGTCAAATAATTCAGAATAGCTTGAAACGTCGGGAGAGCATTAAATTATCAAACCAGATTTTTGATGATAACATGAACTTTTTCTTCGAAAAGACAAAGAACAAGATGTGTGTTAAAAATTATTAAATTTTCACACGCAAGACATGAAATGCATTAGAATCATGAAAATGATTAATGATGATGAGATTTACTTATGTCTAGAATTTACTACAGAATGTGCCTAAATCTAAAATCTTGAAAGTACACACTAATTATAACTCACTGCTAAAGATTTTTTCTTAACTGAAGAACAAAAAGCAAAGGAAATTGATATTTACATCGGTTGACTAATTTTTTATCATCAATAATACGATCTATTTTCGACGGACGGTGCATCTAGAGAACTGTTTTAGCTCAAAAACGAAGCACACATCACAAGCCCGTAGAGTTTGATGGGTTTTTCTCTATTTTGTCAGCATCAGTGTAATTACGGGTGCACAACCTCATTAACAGAGTACGGAACATTTTCGTTATTAGTCAGTTGATTGCATAATCATTTATAATTATGTGCTTTATGATGCGCGTCTCATTTCCGTTACATGTTAATTTCTATTTTGTTTTCAAAGGCAGACACATAGAAACCGACATATATAAACAACTGTTTATTGTTACTGAAATTTACGATAATTAATGGAACACATTATTGTTTTTGAGAAACAAAGGCGGCTGCAAAAAACATTTGCGATGGTACACTTTTTCAATCAACAGTTGGTGAATCAACTGTAAAAACTGAATTTACTTGACAAAAAGTTAATTTTATTTGAAACTTTTCACTAAATCTTCGGTAAAATGATTTTCATGTATAATACAAGGAAAGTTGTTGTACTTTTCCCCTACATTACAATTTTTAACTTCCCGTAGAGTAAGTAAAAAAAAATCGAAATAAAAAAAATTGTATATCAAGCCTCCTCAACATTTTGGCACACCTTAAAAAAATGGATGTTGTATCTATGTGTGTATGTGTGCATGCGTATGGATATAAATTTTTGTCGTCGATTTAAAAAGCACGGATCAACCGATTTGAATGATTCAATAAAACATTCAATTCTCATTAAATTGCCAAAAAAGGAAATTCAGTCTTTGAGAGAACGGAGCGTCCGATTTGAATGATTCTAAAAACATTTCACTTGTATTGACGGAATGAAGAATTAATAAATTTTTATGTAAAGGCAGGTCTATCGGTTTTGGAGATCCATAAATAAGTTGAAAGAACATGCCATTTCGCGGCCAAAAATGATCATTAAACATAAGCATATCAAATATCAGATATTTTATAGAGATTTCAATAATAAGTCTAAAGTTTTTAACCCAATTTTTTGGGTTCCGTACCAATGTTTATAATATTTAAAGTTTGCTTATATAGTCAAATAATTTTTTTCGACACTTTCGACACATTTTCAAAATTTTCAAAATTTTAAATTAACGTCGAAAAGTTTCAGCAATTTGGTTTATGGCACGTTGCCAAACACCACTAGTTTTTTTATAGCAAATAGAATAAATTGGAAATTTTTGAAATGTGATCAAGGCTGGAAAATACCGGAAAATAGCGTTTTTGAAATGGAATCAATATTTTAACCAAAGATAAAATTTAGTAATAAAAGTTAAATTTCATGAAATTTCATTGAATTTTATTAAATAATTTTAAATTTAAAGTTTTCCAAAAGGATTCCAATTTGTTTTTTTTTTTTTGGATTCCAATGCCTTTATTATAATTATTTAATTCCCACATTTTTGTACTATCAATATATCGAAAGAAACCTAAAATGTTTTAGTGCATTTTTTTTTAAATTCTTTATCAAGAACGATTTTTAAATATCAGTATTCTTTTATTGTAACGTGCCTTAAACCTATGTCACATTTATTATTAATATAAATAAAAAATTATAGTGTTTATATTATTATTTTTAGATATTAAATATGTAGGAAAAAATATAATAATCTCCTTTAGATGTATTATTTAACTCTCAACTCTCTTAGATAAAACACAGACTTTTGCATATTTTGAATTTATTACTAGTATTGTATAAAAATATAATTTATACAATTTAAGTTATGAATAATTTATATGAACAATATGAAATATCAATTTTTAACAATGAAATCTATCTCACAATCAGTCAAAATGCAATTGTTAGTACAAAACATATAGACTTATCGCTATTTATGTACAAAATTTTATATAAAATATATTTATTGTAAATGTATTTCTCGAAAAATAGTAATTTTTATAAATTTTTATGGCATTAGAAAGTCCCTGATAATACTTAAAAATACTTTGTAATATTAAGTTTTGAAACATACATAATTTAAGTACAGATGTAACGATACAAGCAATATTTTCTTTGATATTTCGCTTATGGCAACGAAAATATATCGATAATATATTTTGATTTATATATAGTAATTGATTTAATATTTTATTGGAAACAAAAGTTTAAAATAGTTTTGCTTAACTATTATTTATTAAATAATTATTATGCATCATTTTAAAATCAGTCATCATTCATCATAAATATCGATATTCGTATTTCAATATATCGTCACACCTCAATTAATTTATGTATCAATTATATTGATTGATTTATTTGCGAATTTCTCAGTTATGAAAATGCAGCAATGCCTGTGATAGCTCTTCCTAGAATAAGTGCGTGGATATCATGTGTACCTGAAAAATATTAAATTTATTTGACATATTATTAATTGTGATCATAACTAATTTATTACATCATAATAAAACTTGTTTGGCATTCTGGTATCAATAAATCGACTGCATAAAAAGTCGACGTGTAGTCACAAATTTTATTAGGCAACTGAGTGCTTAATTAGTAAGAATAACAAACTCGTTATAAATTAATGAATTTATAATTTCAGAATAGGTTAAATTTGATTAATTTTTAACCTTAAACTTTTCGGTTATATGAAAATTAAACTGAGCTCAAGAACAAATAATAATTAAATTTTATCAAAAAAAAAGTGAAATTAATTAAGCGATACACAATGATGAAGCACAAATAAACACATTGCATTGAAAATAAGTAATGAAAAAACGCGTTATTGATTTTTTTTTATAAAAAGCGATAATAATTACTTGTTCAATGAGCTGTCTTTGTTATCGTACATATTAACCCAGTATTTTTCTCGAGGGGGCAACCCCAAAAATAGTAAATATAAAAGTGAATTAAGTTAAAAAAGCAATTTTACAAGAGTTAAATTAAATAAATAATTGTTACAACTTAGCTGATTAATATTTCTAACAAAATACCAGATCAAGGTTATATACAGTGTTATCTCTGTAAAAAAATGTACCTACGAAATACCAGATCAAGGTTATACAGTGTTATCTCTGAAAAAATGTACCTATAAAATTTATATTTTTTATTGGTTGAATAATGTAGCTATTAATTTGTAAAATTCCTTTAAAATATGCTGTTCTATTTAAAGGTGTAAAAGGGACAGATAACAAAGTAAAAAAAAAACAATAAAGAAACACATTTTTAGTATTAGGAATCAACTTTTAATGAACATAGTTCGATAGTTGTTGGTTAGACACGTGTTATGCTTTGTGATGTAGTTCATTTGAATTAGACAGTATAAATACCTAAAGTCAAATTGGACCTTTGTGCCCCGCCCAACCCTATATATTTTGCAGCAATGCTAAGGCAATTTTCACTTGAGATTATAATTGAGATATATAACCTCAAGTAGAAATTTGATATCATACTGCTTGATATCGAGCTGACCGAGATTGGGGATGAAACTCAGGACTAGTTTGTGCTAGCCTACGTTCTTAAACAGTAGGGTTAAATGTTTGAAAATACAATTTATATAAAATTTTAATATTTATTATTGTTATAATTTTAGTATTAACTATATTTTATAAGTTTGAAAACCAGCGAAGGAACAATTGTAATTATTAATTATTTATCTAAATACAACTGAACGAATGCTTAACATCAAGTTGTTACGAATATATACCAGTTTATTTATTACTGTGACACAGGTTTATGACTATAATTATGCAAAGTGAGTTATGGTGTCTAGTTATGCAAATATTAATTATAAACAGGAATTATATATCTTAAGATGAATTAATTATCTGCATCATTGTCAATGCGCGAGATACGTTGTATCAGAAAAACCTGCATGGAATTCTTTAGGAATACTAAATATTGATTCAAATTTGTTGACAAAAATAGAAAGAAGATCGTGGATTGCAAAGTTGAGCACAAATATATGTCATACGGAAGCAAATGTTGCTAATTGGGGAGATTTTTGCACGTTAATTATTGCTGAACGTTATTCGTTCTCTTTATTTTTGTTAGACGAATGCGAGACAACCAGTTTCTCGCTTTCTTGAAATATAATAAATATTTATTAAATTTGAAGATGGTATTCAACAGGTAAATCCGTGGTTTCCAACTTGTGGGACCTATACGCAATCCCTTAGGCGGGGCGCAAGCTTGTTGCAAAAAGGGCTGCTTTTAAAATTTCAAAAAAAAAAAAAAAAAATTAAAAGCTTTGAAATGATATAAAAAAAGAATGAATAAATAATGATTTTCATGCATATTTTGACATAATATTTTATATAAATTTGTAGCCTGACACATGAATTATGATATCAGTTGATAAAATTAGATTCTTAGAAAAATGAAGAGGGGCGCAGGGGGTGTTGCAAAAATGTAAATAAATCATAATACTTAGTTATCGTTATAGCCCTCGTTACCATGGTAATAAAATATTTACCCATCCCAAAACAAAGTTTTTTTTTCTCGCCAGAAAATCCGATTTGCTAATTTTATGTTTTTAAGTCATTCTAAATCGTTTGGCACCAAGATTGGAAAAGTATAATTATGATGTTTGTGCGTGTATATATGGACCAAAAAACTCCTCGTCGATATTTTCTCATAAACATTCTTCTAATAAACCGTTTCCAAAAATTAAAAACGATCGGCCGAGCTGTTTCTATGCCAGAAAAAGCAACATTATTCGTCCAAAAATCCCGTTTAGCCAGAAATCCTGAACCGATTTTGAAAATTCAAAAACTTTTCTAAAGATATCAGTTAATAATCGTTGGTGGCCGTTTTTTTGTAATTAATCGAAAAATTTTTTTCACGATTTTAATGAAACTTTTCATGATTATAGTTCTTGGTCTTAAAGAATATTCTAAAATGTTATAGGCCTACAAAAAGCGGTTTATTTATAAAATTTCATCGAAGTTAAGATTATAGCCTTGTTTTTCAATAAAATTCTATCGTTACACTTTAAAAAGTTACTAAAAATCAATTCACATCCAACTTTTTTTAAGGCAAAATGCCACTTACACCTAGTTATTTTTTCATTTCATGATATCAATAGGATAATGAAGAAAATCCAGAATATTCAGTAGATTTTCTTTAATAGCCACAAACTAGTCTTGGGTTCGATCTTAACCTGACAGCTCGATATCAAGCAGTATGATTTTAACTTTAAGTTATGGATTTCGTATATAATCTCCTAATGAAATAAAAATCACCTTTGGTGGGCGTTGCTGCAACACATACACGCAAAAACTATTAGATATACAGGGTTGGTCAAATAACTTTTTTTGTGAGAATGATACAAAAAACTACTGACTATTTTCTTATATTTTTTTTGAAAATAATTGGCACACATTTGAATTATTTTTGAAAAAAAAAGTTAGATGGCGTACCCTTTACATATCTAATGTAAATATGTAGTCAACACAAAAAAAAGAGTGGTGGACTGCTGGGTTGCCCTCTTGAGAAAAATGCTAGGTTAGAACGTATGATAGCAAACACACCTCATAGAACATGTAGTTCTGATGCATACGCTGTTATATAAATATAAAAATAATAATATTGATGATATTTCATTTTATATCCTCACCTTCGTATGTGTTGACCGCTTCGAGATTCATGCAATGCCTGATAACGTGATATTCGTCGGCGATGCCGTTCGCCCCGAGCATGTCGCGTGCAACGCGAGCTATCTCCAGGGCCTTGCCGGAATTGTTACGTTTGATCAGTGAAATCATTTCGGGGGCCACTCTGAAAATTATAAGATTTCACATGTAAATGAAATGTTATCAGTAGTTATATCAGATTTTGCTTGAAATTATAGATATAAATTAGATTCCAAGTAATATTGCTGCAAAATATGTATGTATGTGACATCACTATTAGAAAAATTTAATACAAATATCATCACCAAGTGGATAACCACTGGGTTGCCACCAAGAAACACTAGGTTAGGGCATTTAAAATTTGCTAATTAAAATATAAGATGTAAAAGATGCAAGCAGCCCAGTGAACACCGTGTGATTTGAGCGGCGGTAGCAATCTGAAATCCACAAGCGTGCCCATGTGGTGCTGTGACACCCATGTGGAATTTATGTGGATTTCAGGTTGCTACTACACTAATGAACAAATAGCGTGCTGTTTTAAAAACATTTGAAAGCCAAATTTTTACCAACATATGTTCGATACACATAGAGGATCAATTTAGGTGCCAATTCTGCCGTGAAATAGACCAATGTTACGTAGCGCTTCTCATACAAAATGGTACTAAATACTGTCAAAATACCATGTATTTGCTGTGCGATCCGCCGTTTTAGGCATGAAATGCAACTTCACTCATATGTTATTATCCCGCTTCGCCAAGATGCAGTTATGATAACATTGTTTTTTGACATTTGAGTTTTCTAGGTTTGGTTTTCTATCGAAAACGTCTGACTGCAAAGCGACCACTTGGCATTTTGACAGTATTTATACCATTTTGTATGAAAAGCGCTACGTAACATAGCCTTGCCATAACATTGGCCTATTTTAAAGGGCATAGTCAGTAGACGATATGTTTCCCACTGAAATTTCTCGACATTCCTGAATTAGAATAAAAATTAATATTATTACAGAATTTCTAATAATAAAATTCATAAATAGATATAGACCGATCTTTGAATTTTTTTCTAAAAAAGCCATGAATTTAAAGAACATGATCGCTACAACTAATAGAACTCTTAAAATGTGATGCTCGTTCAAATAAATAAAAAATTATAAGTTAGTCAAGAACATAAGCTATCGGTTTTTATCATTTTAGAATTTCTATTTGAATTACAATCTGTGTAATCCCGAGGACATTTACTATTTCATTTTTTCGACACCCTATGTGAGCTGTCAATAAACCGCCAAAATTTAAAATATGACAAATCATTCATATTTATAATTTCGTATCCATAAATTTGAATAGTATTGTGTTTATTTATTATCCTTGAATAGTTTCAGGTTGTGCATGCTCCCCCAAAACATCAGTGCAAATTAGGTTAGAATCGGAACCAGAGTTAGTAAGGATTCCCAAATGTTTTGAACAATACAATAATAAATATAAAGTGCGTTATTTTTGGCAAATCAAAAAGTGCTTTATTTATTCGGATATCTGTGAAATGTTATTGCTTATAAAAATGTGAACTGTTTTTGTAAAATGTGAATGAAATGAAATGTGAAATGTTTTAGTTTGTTTAGTGATGTGTAATAGGAGTACTGAAGTGGCTGCCAAATTGCTGCTAAATTGCTGTAAAAGGTAGGATTTGTGGTTTTCTTATATTTCTTGAAGATATTTCTCTTATTGGCTGTTATTTTCTAAGAAGACAACAGAATATACCAACTGGAACTCTGCTAGTTTTAATTTAATTTTACGACTGCTATTTTTTTATATAGTGCATTTTTAGTTCAAAGTAAAAGCAACACTGGTGGCTTCTACTCATTGTCATGTATTTATTAAATTTGCAATGTCTACTAAAGACACTTGTAAATTATATTGTGGAATAAAAAAAGTTAGATTCTAGTATAAATCTAATCTATATGGTTACGTCATAATGCTTTATTGTTGTATAGGTCGGTATTAATTTCTGGAGCACTTATTTATTCATTATTTTTTCATTTTTTGTTTACCAGTATATTATGTCAATTCTTTCAAGTAAATCTTTAACTTACATATGACAATTAATAACTGGAATCAATTATGTAAAAATATTAATATGGTAAGCGATGTGATATTAATTAAATAAGCGATTAAAGATTAAAGATGGTAATTTTAGAACTTCAAATTTATCGAATTATAAAATTTATTTGAACAACTCTTATATTTTATAGCCTTCAAGTCTTGTGATTAAAAGCCCGTTCAAACGTGTAATTTTTATAGATGTTTGTCATTAGCAATATTATAATTGGATATTAGTATAAAACAATTATTTTAAAGAGATAATTATCTGACTCTAATATTATAATTTTTTGTTAAACTAGATTTATAGATCTTATTCTTAAAATCACATCTTGATCTGATAGCTAAATTTATTTTGTTTTTGTCGATGAGAGTCGATGATGTTTTATTGTCACTATTGTCTTTTTGATAAAATTTAATCACGGGAGACTTTCTCTCCAACCTATTTATTATTACTTT